GTTGTAGGTGGGGTGGGGGGTGGGGGGTGGGGGTTTGGAGAAAAAGAAAAACCTCTTTGATTTTGCTAAGATGAGAGAGAGAGAGAGAGTGGTTGCTAATTGGTAGCCAACTTGGATTAAGATGGTTAGGTTGTAGATGGGGTGGGGGAGGGTGGGGTTTTGGAGAAAATGAAAAACCTCTTTGACTTTGCTAAGATGAGAGAGAGAGAGAGAGTTTAATTATAATTTTATAATTTTTTATTCATATTTTAATCAATTTAATACAAAAATATCATTTTACCCTTGCATTTAACAGAAAAGTTAACAAAATTGATAACAGGATCATTTGTCCTAACGAAACTGAAGTTGAAGGACCACGAGAATAATTTTGAAAATTGAGGGACTCAAATGCAAATCGGGTCTAAGTTTAGAGACTAATAAAATGATTAACTCAATATTTATATATATATAGGGTAAATTACTCAAATGGTCCTCAAATTTGTACCTGATTTACATTTTGGTCCCTAAACTAAATTATTCGTTCAAATGGTCCACGAACTCTTTATTAATCGGCGCTTTAGTCCTACCGTTACATTCTGTCAATATTGCCATCAAATATAGGGGTAAAATGGTCCAATTAAGTAAAATAGTAGATAAATTAAAAACTTAAAAAACTTAAAATAAAAAAAACTATTTCCCAACTCTCAGTCCCCAACCCCCAACCCGATAACCCCATCGCCCCACTACCCCAGCGCCCCCATCTTCTCTTCCCCATAGCCCACCCTATCTTCCCCTCCCTCCATGTACAACCTTGAAAACAAGAGAAAAAAAAATGGAGAGATAGAGAGAGAGATTTTGAATTGAATGAATTTTCGGGCCTTCTTCGTTAGCAATCGTAGAATAAATTTCAAGGCTTTAAGAGCTTGCTTTCTGTTCTGGGGATGGAGGAAGAAGAAAATCGCAGGGGGAAAATAGAAGAAAATCGTAGGGAGAGGATGGGTTTTGTGGGTCTGGGTTCGTGGGGGCTAGGGTTTTGGGTTGTGGGTTCGTGGGGTTGGAGGTGGTGGTTCTTGGTTTTGTTTGCAGGTTTAATTGCAATAGTTGTGCAAATTTATTTGCAGATTTGTTAATATAACCATGGATGGAGAGAGAGAGAGAGAGAGAGAGAGAGGAGAAGTGGGAGGGCATCACCTAGCTTCGATGGCTGCAATATTTCATAGTTACATGATGGAGGTTTGAATCGCAGAGGGGGGCTAGGTCGCAGAGGGGGTCGCAAGGGGAAGGAGAAGGAGAGGGAAGGATCGGGGGTGGGTTACTTTTTGTTTTTTTAAAATTCTTTTATAGTTTTTAATTAATTTTAAAAATGAAGAAAATCTTGTATTATTTAATTTTTAATCATATATTTTTATTTTTTAGTTGTCAAAAGTCTTATTTACCCCCACAAATATAGCATGTGCTGCTCACATGACTAAATTTAATAGAAAATGTAACGGTACGACCAAAGCGCCTATTAATAAAGGGTTGGTGAACCATTTGAACGAATAATTTAGTTTATGGACCAAAATGTAAATCGGGTACAAATTTGAGGACCATTTGAGATATATATATATATATATATATATATATATATATAGAGAGAGAGAGAGAGAGAGAGAGAGAGAGAGAGTGGTTGTTAATTGGTAGCCAACTTGGATTAAGATGATTAGGTTGTAGATGGGATGGGGAGGGTGGGGTTTTGGAGAAAAAGAAAAACCTCTTTGACTTTGCTAAAATTAAAATATGAGAGAGAGAGAGAGAGAGAGAGAGAGAGAGAGAGTTTAGTTATAATTTTTGAGATTTTCTATTTAAACCCCACACTTTTCTTAGTTCACCTCATGTTCTAAGTTAACCCCATCTTTTAATTTAAATTTTCACAATTTCTAAGAAAACCCCAATATCTTCCCAAACTACCCCTAAATACATCCCAAATTGCAAAAATAAGAAATAAAAGAGATTTTCTATTTAAACCCCACAATTTTCTTTGTTCTCAGCATAAAAAAAAACACAAACAAATGGAACCCCAAACCTGAAATTTAATACTTTCTAGAGAAAGAGAACAACTTTACCTCTCTCCAAGTAGAGGAGTTTGTCCTGATTTGATCCAATTTATACTTTACCTATGTCCTGATCCAATTTAAATAGGATGTAGAGGAGTTTGTATTTTTCTAAAACTTAATATGAAGAGTGGTGGGGTGTGTGTATAGATGTATTAGGGTTAATTATTAAGTTGGATGACCTTTTTTTGTCTTTTTACACAATAATATCATTTTACCCCTGCACAAAGAGAAGTGCGGGGTTTAAATAAAAAATCTCTAATTTTTTATTCATTTTTTAATCAATTTAATACAACAATATCATTTTACCCCTGCATTTAACAGAAAAGTTAACAAAATTGACAGCAGGACCATTTATCCTAACGAAACTGAAGTTGAAAGACCACGGGAATGATTTTGAAAATTGAGGGACTCAAATGAAAATCGTTTCTAAATTCAGGGACTAATAAAACGATTAACTCAAAATTTATATATATATATATAGAGAGAGAGAGAGAGAGAGAGAGAGAGAGAGAAAGGCAAAGAGTGGGTCTACGAAGGTGGGGGCTGTTGGCAGAGGGAGAACGTAGAGGGGGAATGGTTGTTTGTATTTTTGTTTTTGTTTTTTTATTTATAAAAAGACTTAAATTTTAAAAAAAAAGGATTTTATGTTTTAAACTATTTAAAATATATCATATATTTTATTGAGTGTTACTATTTCCACCGCTTGTCCTATTTCCCCACCCACCTTATCTTCAAAATTTTAAGGACAAATGTAGCCCTTTGTAAAATAACTTTTAAGGACTTATGCCACCTCATTAAAATTTAATCCAACATATTGAAATTTTTTCATAATAAAAAAGAAAAAAAAAACTCTAATGCAACTTAACAATTTGAACCTTAACTCCTACCGTCATTTACTTTTTTTTTCCTATCTCTTCAACCTCTCCCCCTTTCCTGTTTGTTTTGCTTGCAACATCGTTCCCCAATCTTTCTTTTTTTGTCAATATCTCCCCCAATCAGTTTAGCCTTCTTGTTTTTTCCTTATTTCTTATACCTGCAGCTTCTCCACCCAATTGTAGAGGTTTGGTTTTTCCTTCTTCCTTCCTAAACCCTAAACAAACTCTCCAAAACAAAAGAATTTTTTTTTTCTGTACTCTCTTTATAATGGCTTAATTGATCTTTACATAATAATCAAAATCGTTCAAATTCAATTTAATTCAATTTAAGGTGACCTTTCTTTCTCAACCGTGTCTTCTTATACGCCATCTACATTTGTCATTGCTTCATACAGCCTCTCCTAACAAACCCTCCAACTCAACAATGAGACCACCCTCCAATTCTCGGGTCCCAACCTCGAATTTTCTCAAGCCACCACCAAAACCAACCACACTTAGAGAAAGGAAGAGGGAAAAAAAACCTATACAATTGGGTGGAGAAACCGCAGAGAAAGAAAGAAGAAAACAGAAAAGAAAAGAAGAATAATGATTGTAGGAGTTAATTGTTAAGCTCCATTAAGTTTCTTTTTTTATGTTTTAAATTATTACATTTGATAAAAAGAAAATAATAATTAAAGGGTATTTTAGGAATAATGGTGGGTGGAAAGATAGGATTATGTTTTTTAAAATTTATATGGTGGGTGGAAAAGATAAGGTGGGTGGGAAAATAGGACAGGGGGGGTGGAAATAGCAGCACTCATTTTATTTTAAGCAATTTGTCATTATCTCATTGGATATGTGGGCACCACATACTTGTCACGTCAGTAATTTAACAAGAATTTTGACGGAACCTAATAGCATGAATTGATGTGTGAGGTGTAACATAAAGTACCAATAATGTAAAAATATATATATAAAGGACCAAATGTGATAATTTTGCCAACCTCAAGGACCATTGTGATAAAAACCAAAAAATTAAAAAGAAAAGACATGTACAAAAATATCATTGGTTAATGTCAATGGGATGGAGATGGAATTTGGAGTGCACCCAAGTATTTTTCTTGTACACAATTAAAAAGAAAGAGACAAAGGCTCGTTTGGGACTGCTTCTTTAGGAAGCACTTTTGCTCATAAGCGCTTCTAACAAAAGTGCTTTTATTATAAAGTTATTGAAAATTTCATAAAAAATCGAATTTCATAAAAAATTGAAGTGCTTCTTGAAAAAGCACTTGGGAGTGCTTCTTCAGAAAGCACTTTTATGGCCTAGAAGCACTTCTAAACTTTTATGTCAAACACCATCAGAAGCGCTTTCGGTTGTCAGAAAGCGCTTTTAGCCCTTCCAGAAGCAATCCTAAACGAGCCCTTCACATGATCATCTTCTTAGCATTTTCACACAGCAAAACATAAGGCTTGCAGCAAATATTGCATCTCAAATTCTCAATCTAGCTAGCTAGCCGTTTCTCTTAGAAAAGTTTTGCAAGTTTCTGTCTGTCTCTTCAAGCCTTTCAACATCAGGTTGTGAAGAACGAAGTTTCTAGGAAGTGTTCATGAATTTTCCACAGCTAGAATTGTCAACCTAATACTTTGAATAGCAGGACTTGGAGTTGGATATGTAATTTACAGATTTTTTTTTTGGTTTGCAATTTTAGGGGGCGGTATGTGAGAAGGAATGACAACAAAAAGAAATGGGGTGATTGATATGCTATTAATAGGGAGTATTAATTACAATTATGGCAGTTAATGAAATGCTTGAAATAAATTATAAATAAAATATGAAGTCTAGTGACAATGATGTAAAAACATAGGAATACCACGACCTCTTATATCCTACTGGTCATTTAAATTTGAAATTGGGTTTTATACATAGATTTATAGAGTGATGGGTATATGTCTAGGAAATAGAAAATGTACGGATCTACATTGAACAAGCCCTTTTATTAATTATCATGGGAATTAGAATTTATAAATACATTCCTCCTCCTAAAGTTAGGCTCCCAGAACATGAACAGAAATGGCTAGGAACCTTATTGGTCTAGGTGTTAGTCGTAGTCATGCAGATGTATTGCTTCCAAGTGCTGGTGGTGGTCTATACTTGGTTTGTATGATCCTGATGTCCCTTTCAGTAATTTCAGCTATAATACTTTCTTGTGGTACATCGTCTCGCAAGAAGAAAGACAATAGAGATACCAGTAGCGATGGAGGAGACGGAGACGGAGATGGAGGAGACGGAGGTGGTGATGGACATGGAAACCATGGCCATGGGGGCGGGGGACATGGCCACCACGGCCATGGGGGCGGGGGACATGGCCACCACGGCCATGGGGGCGGGGGACATGTTGGTGGCGGAGGACATGTTGGTGGCGGTGGTGGAGTGTTTTAGGAAAGAGATCTTATATAGTTGTTTCATAAAGGAAGTTCAAATTTATGTATCTTTAGTAAGTTCAAATTTATGTGAAAAAAAAAGTTCTAATTTAGGTAAACAAGACATGTCATTCCTATGTAGAGTTCTTGTTAATGCTGGTATTGGATTCTAGGCTGTGTTATATTAAAGGAACTTCCTATATGGATATATGATGCTCAGATTGTGTATTTTTTATTAATTGTCATGGTCTTGTCATTCTCGATTTAAAATTCACTTTAACTTTCTATCAACAAAAATGCAATAATTCGTAAATTCCCATTTTGAACAGTGCTATTTTCTGCCATTTACAATTTGAGGACAATTAACAATTTCCGTCATCAAATGAATTGATAGAATGACCATTTTTTAACCCCTCAAAGTTATATTTCGAATCATAAAAATTTGATTTGAACACACAACATGATAGGCATTTTACAGCTTGTAATAATAATGGTCTCATCATATATAAAGATTATTCAAGTAAGGGACTTGTAACCAGTGGTGAACTTATAGAGGTGCAAGACACGGCCATGGGGGCGGGGGACATGTTGGTGGCGGAGGACATGTTGGTGGCGGTGGTGGAGTGTTTTAGGAAAGAGATCTTATATAGTTGTTTCATAAAGGAAGTTCAAATTTATGTATCTTTAGTAAGTTCAAATTTATGTGAAAAAAAAAGTTCTAATTTAGGTAAACAAGACATGTCATTCCTATGTAGAGTTCTTGTTAATGCTGGTATTGGATTCTAGGCTGTGTTATATTAAAGGAACTTCCTATATGGATATATGATGCTCAGATTGTGTATTTTTTATTAATTGTCATGGTCTTGTCATTCTCGATTTAAAATTCACTTTAACTTTCTATCAACAAAAATGCAATAATTCGTAAATTCCCATTTTGAACAGTGCTATTTTCTGCCATTTACAATTTGAGGACAATTAACAATTTCCGTCATCAAATGAATTGATAGAATGACCATTTTTTAACCCCTCAAAGTTATATTTCGAATCATAAAAATTTGATTTGAACACACAAACATGATAGGCATTTTACAGCTTGTAATAATAATGGTCTCATCATATATAAAGATTATTCAAGTAAGGGACTTGTAACCAGTGGTGGACTTATAGAGGTGCAAGGAGGTGCAGCTGCACCTCCCCTCGTCGGAATAAGCGTTGCAAGTGCCGAAAAGTTGCCCCTCTGCTCAGTCCGCTGTGCAGTTTACTTGTTCGACAAAAGGCCACTAAGAGTTCCTTTCCTTTGTTGCGCTGAGCTATGCGCTGTGTGCCGAGTGTGTATTTAAAAAAAAAAAAACCCTAGTCAAAACGAGATCTTGTAGATAGAGAAGAGGGTGGAAATAAGGAGATTTTGCTATGTTTTTTTAAAAAAAGCTCCTTTTTGAGAGATTCTTTTCGTCCCATCACACCAATTCTAGTCCTTATAAAACATTATCAAATTCATAACTTTTTTTACGTCTCCAGTCTGTTTTTTCCTTTATTTTTTTATTTTTTTATTTTTTATTTTTTTTGGAGAGAACTCCAAGTCTTTTATAAAAATTAATTCATCGATCAAGTCTTGTGCTAAGAAAGAAAATATTGTATCAATAAGCTTTTAGACTTACAAAATTGCACCTCTATCGAAAAATTCTTGGGTCCGCCAGTGCATAGATTATGGGGACACACTAAAAGAGCCTTTACATGTTGAACTGGAGGAGAGAGTTCATCTTCTTGAAAAGCAATAAATATCTAGATTTAGGACTAAAAATTGACCATTTCAAATTTAACAGCAAGAACTTGTACCGCATACGTTTTATTTCTACAACCAGTCAAACAAAAAATATGAGTCACCAAGGAAAAAACATTCAAATGAAAGATTTGTAAGAGACATAACACAGATCTAGCCCAAAGCAGACAATGGGTTAGATTTACAAACACAGTACCAAGAATTAAATTTAAAACTAGACCAAGAAATCCAGACACAATACCAAGAAAAAAGATGAGAATAAGAAGAAGAAAAAAATAATAGATAAAAGGGGTGCATTTAGATTTGAAGCAGAAAAAGAGTAGTTTCAAGAAAGTTGTTGAGAAAATAGGAAGAAAATAAGAGAGAGAGAGAGAGAGAGAGTGGAGGACACAATAGGAATCTTAGGAAGTAAAACGAGAGCTGTTAAGAAAATAATAATAATTTAAGAGAGAGAGAGGGAGGGAGAGGGGAATCTTGGAAAGATAAAAAGAAGGAAAGCCATTTTGGTATACGTATAATTTCACTTAGTTGGTATAATGGGTCTTTATTTATATATTTTTAAAATTTTAATTAAGTTTTTGTGTTGATCTGTGCCCACTACTGGAAATGGTGGAGAACTTAGGCACTGATTAATTTGTCAGTGCCTTATTTTCTAATATATATCTAATTTGTCTGTGTCTTATTTTCAGAACGACACTTAAAGTCCTTGTGGTTTCCAATGTTTACCATTAAGATCTTTGTGGTTTCAATTTTATCACTTTTGCCACTGTAGTTTAGGATTCCAAGCAATTTGAGGCTGCTTCTCAATTTCCATCAAATTTCTTTTAGTTCCATTAGGGCCTCAACTCTTGCCGTTAGTTATTGAATAAGTGGAGGGGCATTAAGGTAAAATCCCTTGCAATTCATAGCACATGTGCCCCTAAAATAACCCAGCATTCTCATTTTTTTTATTCCAGAGAAAGAGAACACAAAGGCTCTTTGTTTTTTCGATTGTCTGCATGTGTTATTTTTTATCCCTAATTTGTAGCCTTTTTTATTGGGTTGAGTTTGACTCTTAGTGGAATAATTGGTGGGAAAGTAGAGGCTTTAGGAAGTAAAGGTTTTTTTTTTGGTTAGAATAGGAAGTAAAGGCAGTGGTCCCGTGTATATTTTCACTACTAAAGGCTTAGGAAGAATAATGTCCCTATTTATTTGCATAAAGTATTCAATATGCATTGTTTGCATTTTTGTTCTTATTTGGTTATGCCAAAATTTTCCAAATGTTGGGCCACCCCAATTGCTTTATAATGCAGCATTTGATGACATTTTTTGATGAAGTTTTTAATTATGAGTCACAGTTAACCCAAGAAAATGTAGAACAAGTGCCTAATATAGGGACTATAGGAACTGTAGAGGTTCTTGTAGAGTTGGCTAGGAATGTCATCAATGAAGAGGGTAATGAAGAAGAAAATAGTGAAGAAGAGAGTACTGAAGAAGACACTAATATTGATGGTAGAAGAAGAAGATTAGAATTTGAAGATAGTGTTAATGAATCAGATAAGGAGATTTATGAGAGTGACAATGATGCTGCCCTAGATGACAACAACGAATTTGATGTAGATCTTCAGTCCAATTTTGGGAGAGTAGGAAATACTTATCTCCCAAAAGATTTTGTGGTTGTTGCTTGTGAAGAAGACAGTGATACAAACTCTGAGAAAGGATTTGACTCTCCTAATTACTCTTTAGATGAGGAAGGTGAAAGAATGAGAAAATTTCCAGAGTTTTGTAAGTCTGATTTGGATAACCCTAACTTTGAGAAGGGAATGTTATTTGGAAGTAAGGAAGACTTGAAAAAAGTTGTGAAAAATTATGTAGTGCAAAGCAATTATCATATTAAATTTGCGAAAAATGATAAGAAGAGGATAACTGCACGTGGAAAATGCATGCTTCTTTTATGTAGCTTCAACAAACCCTGCAAATTAAGATGTTTATTGATAAGCACATTTGTCATCGAAACCCTACTAACACATATGTGAACTGTGTGTTCATTGCTCATAATCGTATCATGGATGAACCTAATATAAAGTGTAAGCATTTGAGGAAGGTAGTGAAGAGGGACTTAGTGTATAATGTGTCCGATAGTCAATGTGCAAGAGCTAAGAACAAGGCCAAGGAGATAATAGAAAGGACTTATAAGGAGCAATACTCAAGGTTATGAGAGTATTGTGATGAGGTTAGAGCAACTAATGTTGGAAGCACAATGAAGATAAGGGTGGAGCCTCCTCCACATTTTTAGAGGCTTTATGTATGCCTTGATGCATGCAAAAAGGGCTTTCATGTGAAACATACAAACCTATGCCCACCCAAAGAGCAACCCACATGTATTCATAACCTAAAATTTCTCTCTTCTTTAATTATCTCCTCTTTAATTATCTTCTCTTTAATTACCTACCTCAAATTTTAAGATGTTGTATATGACAACATTGAATCTAACATATTTTAAATAGGTTAGAAGTTATGTGTTCTAATCTGTTCTAGCATTTACTTAAGAATGAATTTTAATTTGCTGACTTTGTTGAAATTAATAAGGTCTTTGATTTTTGGAATTTTGTTGAGATGTTTGATTTGATATTGGTATTGTTGAGATGTTTGATTTGTTCTTGATATGTTAATGTTTGATTAAAGGCATTGATGTTATTATGAGAATTTATTTGATTTTTTTTTTGGATGTTGGATTAAATAGTTTATCTTTTGTTATGTCGGATCACAATCCGAACCCCAAGAAAACAAAGAATTTGTTGGAATTTTTTTTTTTAAAGAAAAAGATTAGTTTTTTCTTTGTTGCTAAACTTTTATTTATATATAGAGATGCATTTGATGGTAAGGCTTATTATGTCCTCCTACTAGGTGTATATTTTTATATTTATTAATGAGATTCACTCATAACGTCGAGTTTTTAATGTAAGTTTCGCCCAATCGGATTTCGAATCCTGGATTTGCCACTGGGTAGATGGGTCAAATTTGTTCAACTCTTCATCTAATTATGATGTGTTTGTGTGACATTCATGAAGTATTGGACTCTTTTCTATAAAACCAGAAGGGAAAAGTATTAGTGTCTGTTCACTCGCACGCGACGTTGACTCATCTGATAAACTTTTGTAGTTTTCTAGTCTGTTTTCATTACATTTTTTATTTGGTCGAATCTTTTCACTACATTAGTCCCAGCTAAGTTTACCATTCTAGGATTTAATATTTTGGTA